GAAATTTCAGGCAATTCCAAACGAGGCAATTCCGGGCAATTCCAGAAAAAAACATTGCAGTCAAAAAAATTCCAGGCAATATCAGGCAAAGCAATTCCAGATAAGGAAACTCCAGGAAATTCCTGGAAATTGAACTGGAATCAAGAACATTTCAGGAAATGACAGGCAAGAAAAATTTAGGCAGGGAAATTCCAGGCAATTCCAGGCAAGGCAATTCCAGGCAATGCAACTCCTGAAAATTTTAGGCAAGGCAATTTCAAACAATTCCAGGCAAGACAATTCCTGGCTAGGCAAATCCAGGCAACTTAAGGCAGTTTTAGACAATGCAATTCCAGCAATTTCTAGGCAAGGCACTTTCAGGTAGAGCAATTCCAGGCAATTTCAGGAAAGGCAATTCCAGCAAGGCAATTATATAGAGAAAAACTCCAGGCAAGGCAATACCGGGCAAGGCATCTTTAGGCAATTCCAGGGAAGGCCATTTCAAGCAATGAAATTAAAAACAATTCCAAGCAATGAAATTCCAAGAAAGGCATGTTCACATTATTCCAGGAAATGCAATTTCCTGAACTAATTTCCAGGCAAGGCTGTTATAGGCAAGGTAATTGCAGGTATCTCCGTGCAACTCCTGGCAAGGCAATTACATGCAAGACAATTCCAGGCGATTTCCAGCAATTCAAATGCTGGCAACGCATTTCAAAAAAAGGGAGGCAGGCAAGGCAATTTCAGGCGAGTCAATTCCAGGGAAGGCAATTCCAAGAAAGGCAATTTCAGTCTATTGCAGAAAACAATATTCCTGGAAAGGCAACTGCAAACAAGGCAATTCTTGACAAGACAAGTTTAGCTAGGCAATTCCAGGCAATTTCACGAAAGGCAATGGTTGGTAAAGCAATTCCAAGAAAGGACATACCAGGCAAATCCAAGACGAGTAATTTTAGTCCAGGCAATTCCAAGCAATAAAATTTCAGCAAGGCGATTCTAGGCAAAACAATTCCAGGCCACACACTTCCAAGCAAAGGAATTTCAGAAGAGGCAAGAATAGATAAGGCCATTCCAGGCAAGGCAATTTCAGGCAATTCCATGCAAAGTGATTCGATATAAGAAATTCCCGACAATTCCAGGCAAGAAATTTTAGGCAAGGCATTTCCAAGCAACTCCAGCCAAGGCAATTCCAGCCAGTTTGATGCAAGACAATTCCAGGCAAGAAAGTTACGGGCAATTCCAGGAAACACAATTTCTGTCTAGGTCATTACACGCATGTCCAAATAAAAAAATTTCTGGAAATTCAACAGCAGGCAATTCTAGGCAAGGCAATCCAGGAAACACAATGTTATTCAAAACAATTCCAGGCAATTACAGAAATTGAAATTTAAAAAAAATTATTAGGCAATTTCAGGAAAGGCAATTACAGACAACACAACTAGAGGCAATTACAGGCAAGAAAATACGAGTCAAAAAACTTCCAGGAAATTCCAGGTAAGGAAACTCCAGGCAGAGCAATTCCAGGCAACTCCAGCCAAGACAACTTCAGGCAATGCCAATCAAGGCAATTTCAGGCAAGGGTTTTGCAGGCAATTTCAATGAAGGCAATTTTAAGCAAGGAAACAAGAAAATTCCAGGCGGGGCGATCCCAGGCAAGGCAAATGAAGGCAATTTCAGACAATGCAATTCCAGAAGAGGCTATTTTATGGAATGTCAGGCAGGCAAATCCAGGCAATGCAACTTTAGGCATTTCCAGGCAAGGAAATTTTAGGCAAGGCATATCCAGGCAAAACAGTTCCAGGCAAGGCAATTCCAGGACACTCCAGGCAAAGCAAAGCAATTGAAGGCAAAGCAACTCCACACAATTACAGGCAATGCAATCCCAGGTAAGAAAATTTCAGGCAATTCCAAACAAGGCATTCCAGGAAAGGCCATGGCAGTCAAGAAAATTCCAGGCAATATCAGCCAAGGCAATTCCAGATAAGACCACTCCAGGATATTCCTAAAATTGGAACTAGAATCAAGAACATTTCAATGAATAACAGGCAAGAAAATTTAAGCAGGGCAATTCCAGGCAACCCCAGCCAAGGGAATTCGAGCCAATACAACTACAGGCAACTCCAAGTGAGAAAATTTCAGTCAAGGCTTTTCAAGGCTATTTTAATCAACGCAATTTTAAACAAGAAACCTTTAGGAAATACAAGGTAGGGCGATCCCATGTGAGGAAATTTCAGGCTATTCCAGGCAAGGCAATTCCAGGCAAGTCAACTCCAGAAAATTATAGGTAAGGCAATTCCAGGCAACGCAATTTCAAATAATTCCAGGGAAGGTAAATCCAGGCAAATTTCGGGTAGGCAGTTTCAATCAAGGCAATTTTAGCAATTTTTAGGCAAGGCACATTCAGATAGAGCAATTCCAGGCAATTCCAGGATAGGCCATTCCAGCAAGGCAATTATGTAGAAGGTAATTCCAGGCAAGACAATTCTGGGATTTACCCGGCAAAACAATTTCAGGTAAGAAAATTTTAGGCAACTCGAGGCAATGTAATTTTAGGCAAGGCCATTCCATGCAATTCAAGTCAAAATAATTTTAGGTAACGCAATTCCAGTCAACCCATAAATAGGCAATTTCATGCAGGGCAATTCCTGGCAAGGCAAATTTAGGCAATTTCAGGAAAAGCAGATTTAGACAAGGCATTTCCAGAGATTTCTAAGCAAGGCTTTTCCATTTATGGCAATTCCAGGAAAGGCAATTTCAGCAAGGCAACTATAAAGCAGGCAATTCCAGGCAAGGCAATTTCAGGCATTTACATGCAATGCAATTCCAGAAACGGGTATTTTAGGCAATCCAAGAAAAACAATTGCAGACCTTGCAGTTGCAGGCAATTCCAAACATGGCACTTACAGGATATTCGAGGCAAAGCTATTTCAGGCAATTCCTGGCAAAGAGATTCGATATGAAGATATTCCGGACAATTCCAGGCAAGAAATTTTAGGTAAGGCGTTTCCAAGCAACTCCAGTCAAGGCAATTCCAGCAAGTTTAAGGAAAGAAAATTCCAGGCAAGGAAGTTACAGGATATTCAAGAGAACACAATTCCTGCCTAGGTCATTACATGCATGTCCAAATAAAAAAATTTCTGGAAAGTCAACAGCAGGCAATTCCAGGCCAGGCAAATCCAGAAAACACAATGTTAGAAAAAACAATTTCAGGCAATTACAGGAAATTAAATTCCCCCCCAAAATTTATTAGGTAATTTCAGGCAGAGCAGTTACAGACAACGCAACTACAGGCAATTACAGGCAAGGAAATTCGAGTCGAAAAACGAAAAACTTCCAGGAAATTCCAGGTAAGAAAACTCCAGGCAGGGAAATTCCAGGCAACTCTAGCCCAGACAACGTCAGGCAATTTCAATCAAGGCAATTTCAGGCCAGGCTTTTCCAGGCAATTTCAATCAAGGCAATTGTAAACAAGGAAACAAGAAAATTCCAGGCAGAACGATCCCAGGCAAGGCAATTCAAGGCAATTTCAGACGAGGCAATTCCAGAAGAGGCTATTTTATGGAATGTCAGACAGGTAAATCCAGGCAATGCAACTTTAGGCATTTCCAGGCAAGATAATTGCACGGAAGGCATATCCAGGCAAAACAACTCCAGGCAAGGCAATTCCAGGATAGTCCAGGCAAGGCAATTCAAGGCAAAGCAACTCCACACAATTACAGGAAATGCAATCCCAGGTAAGAAAATTTCAGGCAATTTCAAACAAGGCAATTCCAGGAAAGGCCATTGTAGTAAAAAAAAATTTCAGGCAGTATCAGGCAAGGCGATTCCCAGATAAGGCAACTCCAGGAAATTCCTAGAAATGGAACTAGAATTCAGAATATTTCAGGGAATAACAGGCAAGAAATTTTAGGCGGGGCAATTCCAGGCAACTCCAGCCCAGGGAATTCGGGCCAATACAACTTCAGGCAATTCCAAGCTAGAAGATTTCAGGCAAGGCTTTTCAAGGCCATTATAATCAAGTGAATTTTAAACAACAAAACTTTAAAAACTACAAGGCAAGGCGATTCCAGGCAAGGCAATTTCAGGCAATTCCAACCAAATATAAGCAACGCAATTCTAGGCTGGGCAATTTCAAACAATTCCAGGCAAGACAATTCCTGGCAAGGCAAATCCAGGCAACTTCAGGCAAGTCCGTTTCAGGCAAGGCAATTTCAACAATTTCTAGGCAAGGCATTTTCAGTTAGAGAAATTCCAGGTATTTCCAGGAAAGGCCATTCCAGCAAGGCAATTATATAGAAAGCAATTCCAGGCTAGATAATTTTGGGCAATACCAGTACCAGGCAAAACAATTTCAGGTAAGAAAATTTCAGGCAACACGAGGCAAGGTAATTTTAGGCAAGGCAATTCCATGCAATTCAAGTCAAAACAATTTTACGTAAGACAATTCCAGTCAAGTCCAGGACAGGCAATTTCCTGCAAGGCAATTCCTGGCAAGGGAAATCCAGGGAATTCCAGTAAAAGTGGATTTACACAAGGCATTTCCAGGCATTTCTAATCAAGGCACTTCCAGGTATGGCAATTCCAGCCAAGTCCAGGAAAGGCAATTTAAGCAAGGCAATTATACAGAAGGCAATTCCAGGCAAGGCAATTACATGCAATGCAATTCCAGGAACGGGTATTTTAGGCAATCCAAGGCAAAGCAATTCCAGCCAAGGCAATTCCAGGATATTCCAAACAAGGCAATTTCAGGCAATTCTAGGCAAAATGATTCGATATGAGGACATTCCAGACAATTCCAGAAAAGAAATTTTAGGCAATGCATTTCCAAGCAACTTCTTCAGTTAAGGCAATTCCAGCCAGTTCGAGGCAAGACAATTCCAGGTGTGAAAGTTACGGGCAATTTCAGAGGACACAATCCCTGGTTAGGTCACTGTAATGGAACAGAAGGAGTTAATTAAGTTTACAAGTCATGGACAGACTTTATGTTGTCTTCATTTCCTTATCATTGGGAGTATTCCGAGATCAGAATTTTCCCAATGCAAAAAAAGGCTCTGAAGAGCCAGATCTGGGAACCTGGCCAGTTCCCTGATCCAATTTTTGGTAAACACCTCAAGGATGTTAGTTACATGATGAAGACGTGGACAGTGTCCTGACTTGACCCTTCTTTGTTTTAAAAAGTATAAAAGATTGTTTAGCAGAAGCCGAACTGAGCTTCGATGGTGATTTGGTTTGGACTTGCGAAAACCCGTGCTGCTTTATTGCCGGTGTTGAAGTTTGTGAGCGTCTCTAGGTATCCTTGTAAATAAACTTTTTTTCTTTCTTTGTAAATAAACTCTTTTTCTTCTCTATATACCTCGGCTGGTGTTTTTCTTCCCACGAATCTGCCTGAAAAGATTAGAAAATCCAAGCTTGGTACTGAGCAGTGCTCACACAAAATTGGTGTAGTCGGCAGGATTCGGGGAGAAGGAGTGCATCATGCCTTTCTTTAAAAAAAATGTTAAAATTGTTGTTAGTGAAATTCCTGGTTGGGAAGATCTTGTGTTTGTTTCTGTTGCTCGTAACTGGGCCTCTGGCACTGGCCTAAGTGAAAATTGGGACGGCCGCCTTAGGACGGCTGATCCCGCACAGGTATGTGAAGTTTTGGACCTGGTGCCAGTAGATAAAGGAAAGGAGTTAGCTGCCATTAGTAGACGAGGCTGGATTTTGTTGTCTGCTTATAGGAAACAATACTTAGCTCGCCAAGCCCTTATACAGGAAAAATTGCAGTTAGAAAAAGAACTGGCTGATTTACAAGGCAAATTGTCTATGTTACAATGTCAGAATTTTATCCTTGGTGACCAGGCAACAAGAATATATCAGGGAGTAGCTGAAAAGGCTGCTGTACGGTGTGCACAGTATAAATATAGAAAACGAAAGTGGAAAGTGAATGCAAAGAAGGTGCATGCTGTCATTGCAACTGCTAAAGGTGATTGGGACCTAGTCAACATGTAAAATTTTTAGGAATATATTGGGATCATGGCTTACGTGCCATTACCCCAAAAGCAAAACAGAGAATATTAGATTTTCCCCCTCCCTCTACCAAAAAGGAGGCACAAAAATATATTGGCTTATTTGGATACTGGAGACATCATATACCCCATTTGAGAATGCTATTACAACCACTTTTTAAAGTAACTAGGAAAAAATACCAATTTGAATGGACTCAAGACCAACAGGACGCTTTTGAGAGAACTAAAGAGGCAATCCAGCAAGCCTTAGATTTATGGCCCCTACAGTCAGGACCTGTTGAATTAATGACTAGTGTAGAAAGTGAACATGCTAATTGGAGTCTTTGGCAAAAGCAGATGGTAAATGAGTTCCATTAGGATTTTGGTCTCGAAAATTGCCCCAATGTAAAAACCCATATACCCAGTTAGAACAACAATTATTAACTGCTTACTGGGCCTTATCTGAAACAGAACATTTAACTACCGATAAAGAAGTAATCTTATGCCCTCAAATTCCAATAATGCAGTGGGTACTTTCTGACCCGGTATCACATAAGATTGGACATGCCCAAGAATCCCATGTCATTAAATGGAAATGGTATATACAAAATCGTGCTAAACCAGGCCCCACTGGAGTTTTGCAGCTACATGAAAAGGTTTTTTCCTGCCCAACTGATGAAGGTAATCATGATCAACTCGTTGAACATATTGACAGTAAAGTTTGGGCTAATAAAGGATATGACTCTTTAAGTAAAGAACAACAGAAGCATGCATGGTTTACAGATGGCTTTGCTAAGTACATAGGGGGAAAGCAGCACTGGAAAGCTATAGCGTATAATCCCGCTCTGGATTGTACACTACTAGAAGCTAATGGAGCAAACGGCAGCAGCCAACTTGCCGAATTACATGCAGTCTGGCTGTGCCTGGAAAAGGAATATGGGGGAGAATGTCATGTGTTCACAGATTCCTTGTCTGTGTATATGGGATTATTAACCTGGATTGCACAATGGCAGCATGATAATTGGAAGATTCATGACCGTGATTTATGGGGAAAGGACTTATGGCAAAATATATGGATTGTATTGCAAAGTACTAATGTTTCTGTTTTCCACGTAGACGCTCACATGCCTACTGATTCTATTGAACGTATTTACAATAAGAAGACTGATCAATTAACTAAAATTAGCTTTAATACTTACCCTGAAGATCATCCCAAGTGCGCAAAATGGGTGCACGCGCAAAATGGGTGCACGAACACACTGGACATGCAGGAGCCAAAGCTATGTACAGGTGGGCGCAACAGAGAGGCATATACCTGCCATTAGATGTATGTAAAACCATCACAACACAGTGTCCAGTAAGAACGGTTGCAAAATGTCCCTCATATTGTCACAGGAGAATTAGCTCGAGGAAAACAAGCGGCACAAATTTGGCAAATAGATTACATAGGGCCGCTCCCCATTTCTAAAGGGTGCACTTACATATGCACTATTGTAGATACTTATTCTGGTGTGCTTATTGGATGTCCCTATAAACGGGCCACCCAACAAAATACTCTGAAAACCTTAGATTTTATTATTTTATATTATGGAGTGCCATTACAAATACAAAGTGACAACAGATCCCATTTTAAAGGTAAGTTAATTACTGTGCTCAATATAATATAGAATGGATTTATCATATACCCTATTACCCACAAGCAGCAGGCCTCATTGAAAGGATGAATGGGTTATTAAAGGAAAAACTACGGAAATTAACCAATCCAATGTATTCAGGATGGGAAACCTTTTTATTACCAGCCTTACAACAACTTAATAATAGACCCCTAACTAGTGGCCAAACCCCGTTGCAACGGATGATATATTCCTCTAATACAGTTGAGATCAGATCCCAAATAACAAATTAGCCTATAACTATCTCCTGGTGGAGATTCCACCCAGATGCAATACAACCTGGGAATGCTACTAGTACTGCTGCAGGTTATGATTTATTTAACTACTTTGTAACTAAATTAAATAGCAAAACTCAACATGTAATACCCACTGGAATAGGTTTACAGTTACCTTCAGGATATTATGGACAAATAGCTGCTCGATCTAGTCTAGCACAAAAAGGAATGACAATCTTAGGGGGAATAATTGATGCAGATTATTACGGTGAAATCAAAGTGTTTTGTTATAACCTTGGTGAAGAAGATATCATCTTGCCTAAAGGCCACCGAATAGCACAACTATTAATAATTCCAGTTTTACAAAACACAGTATGGGAATCACAAAGGTTCCCTCCAAAATCAGCTCATTTAGGATTTGGCAGTACTGATGAAAAGAAACAAATATCAGGTCATATTTGGGTACAAACATCTCCCCATAAACCATTACAAGCTGGAGAGATAGTAGCACAAGGAAGAAATAACTGTGTATATGTCCTAATTCCCCCCGCTGATACTCCTATATTAGTACCTACTAATCATTTGTTTCATCGTGTATAGATTTGTGTATTTACAGGTATTATTGTTAGCACTCACGTCTGGATTGCTTGGACCATTTCCCCCGGACAAATCTTGTCTCACCAAACTACTTCCAGCAATGGACACATGATTCTACAGTTGGGATGGGTCAACTCCACAAAAGTAAGAAGTCAAGACTCTTACAACTGTTCTGCTAATCAAGTCTGTCACCATACCAATCTTACTATTAGTGGAGATACCAACACTACACTTACCTATTGGATGGGACAGAAACCTGCTCGAGGCAAAATTTATAGTAATGATAGTATTACTATTAATGTCACTTCTAAAGTGAATATTTCCTGTTGTCAACAAGATTTAACTACTATGCTATGTCCCTATCATGTGCTTCCATACCCTTATTATTATTTGCAACCAGAATTTTATGGTACCCACATTGACAATAGAAATATAACATATAAAATCAATGATTGTGCTGTAACTACAAAAGGATTAGTATGCACTGATTTACAACAACAGATGGAGCCATGTCTATTGCATTTTTCTGTTAATCATTGTATTTTTACCTTATTACCAGTAAGTGATTACACTGCCCTTTTTGAAGTCCAGCCCCATACATTATGTATTGTATCCAATCAATCTGAAGTATTGTCATATATGCAAGTTGATTTTCCATTTGTTGGATGTATTTATAATATCTCTATTTTTCCCTGGCATAATTCTACTATTTATTTAACCCCAATTATTGACTATGAAAATGTCACTTTCACCCCAATAAGCCTGCCCCAACCAAAGTTGGAAACCTATTTAAATCTAACTACTATATTATATGAAAATAAAGCTTTAAATCAGACATTACAGAAAAGAGATCAACAATTAAGTGAATATAGACTACAAACCACCATAGTAAGTCATAAACTGCAGGACTATTCCCATGCTATAGCAACAGATAGTAATCATAACTGGTGGAATTGGTTATTCACACACTCATCAGTAACATATAGATTTGTCCCACCATTCATGATTGTATTCATTTTAAGTTATTAGTATATGTAGTTGTTGCTGTTCTTTGTACTTATATCAACGCATTAAGAATTTATATGATGCATTTACTTACAACTATTATGTGTATAATAAGTCTGCCCATGCCTAGGGCCGAATTGTAATGGAACAGAAGGAGTTAATTAAGTTTACAAGTCATGGACAGACTTGATGTTGTCTTCATTTCCTTATCATTCGGAGTATTCCGAGCTCAGAATTTTCCCAATGCAAAAAAAGGCTCTGAAGAGCCGGACCTGGGAACCTGGCCAGTTCCCTGATCCAATTTTTGGTAAACACCTCAAGGATGTTAGTTACATGATGAAGACATGGACAGTGTCCTGACTTGACCCTTCTTTGTTTTAAAAAGTATAAAAGATTGTTTAGCAGAAGCCGAACTGAGCTTCGATGGTGATTTGGTTTGGACTTGCGAAAACCCGTGCTGCTTTATTGCCGGTGTTGAAGTTTGTGAGCGTCTCTAGGTATCCTTGTAAATAAACTTTTTTTCTTTCTTTGTAAATAAACTCTTTTTCTCTATATCCCTAGGCTGGTGTTTTTCTTCCCACGAATCTGCCTGAAAAGATTAGAAAATCCAAGCTTGGTACTGAGCAGTGCTCACACAGTCACTCCACGCATATCCAAATAAAAAAATTTTTGGAAAGTCAACAGCAGGCAATTCCAGGCAAAGCAAATCCAGGAAGCACAATGTTAGGCAATACAATTTCAGGCAATTACATGAAATGAAATTCGAAAAAAAATTATTAGGTAATTTCAGGAAAGGCAATTACAGACAATGCAACTACAGGCAATTCCAGGCAAGGAAATTCGAGTCGAAAAGCTTCCAGGACAGGAAATTCCAGGTAAGAAAACTCCAGGCAGGGCAATTCCAGGCAACTCCAGCCAAGGCAACTTCAGGCAATTCCAATCAAGCCATTTAAGGGAAGGCTTTTCCAGGCAATTTTAATCAAGGCAGTTTTACACAAGGAAACAAGAAAATTCCAGGCAGGGCAATCCCAGGCAAGGCAATTCAAGGCAATTTCAGACAAGACAATTCCAGAAGAGGCCATTTCATGGAATGTCAGGCAGGCAAATCCAGGCAATGCAACTTTAGGCATTTCCAGGCAAGGCTATTCCAGGCAAGGCATATCCAGGCGAAACAATTCCAGGCAAGGCAATTCCAGAATACTCCAGGCAAGGCAATTCAAGGCAAAGCAACTTCACACAATTACAAACAATGCAATCCCAGGTAAAAAAATTTCAGGCAATTTCTGGGAATTCCAGGAAAGGCCATTGCAGTCATGGAAATTCCAGGCAATATCAGGCAAGGCAATTCCAGATAAGGCAACTTCAAAAATTTCTGAAAATGGAACTAGAATCAAGAACATTTCAGAGAATAACATTCAAGAAAAGTTTAGGCAGGGCAACTTCAGGCAACTCCAGCCAAGGCAATACAGCTTTAGGCAATTTCAAGCGAGGAAATTTCAGGCAAGGCTCTTCAAGGCCATTTTATTCAAGGCAATTTTGAACAAGGAAACTTAAGATAATACAAGGCAAGGAGATTATAGGGAAGGCAACTTCAGGCATTTCCAGGCACGACAATTTCAGGCAAGGCAATTCAAGAAAATTATAGGCAAAACAATTGCAGGCAAGGCAATTTCAAACAATTCTAGGCAAGACAATCCCTGGCAAGGCAAATCCAGGCAACTTCAGGCAAGGCATTTTCAGGCAAGGCAATTCCAGCAATTTCTAGGCAAGGCACTTTCAGGAAGAGCAATTCTAGTTAATTCCAAAAAAGGCCATTCCAGCAAGGCAATTATATATAAGGCAATTCCAGGCAAGGATATACCAAACAAAACTATTTCAGGTAAGAAAATTCCAGTCAACTCGAGGCAAGGAAATTTTAGCCAAGGCAATTCCATGCAATTCAAGTCAAAATAATTTTAGGTAAGGCAATGCCAGTCAACTTCAGGACAGGCAATGTCATGCAAAACAATTCCTGGCAAGGCAAATAAAGGGAATTCCAGAAAAAGCAGATTTAGACAAGGCATTTTTATGCATTTCTAAGCAAGGCACTTCCAGGTATGGCAATTCCAGGCAATTCCAGGAAAGGCAATTTCAGCAAGGCAATTATACAGAAGGCAATTTCAGGCAAGGAAATTTCAGGCAATTACATGCAATGCAATTCCAGGAACGGGTATTTTGGGCAATCCAAGGCAAAGCAATTTCAGCCAAGGCAATTCCAGGATATTCCAGGCAAGGCCCTTTCAGGCAATTCCAGGCAACGAGATTTGATATAAGGAAATTCCAGACAATACCATAAAGAAATTTTAGGCAAGGCATTTCAGAGCAACTCCAGCCAAGGCAATTCTAGCCAGTTAGAAGCAAGACAACTCCAGGCAAGGAAGTTAAGAGCAATTACAAAGAACCGAATTTTTGGCTAGGTTATTCCATGCATGTCTATATAAAAAAAATTCTGGAAAGTCAACAGCAGGCAATACCAGGCAAGGCAAATCCAGGAACACAAGGTTAGGCAAAACAATTTTAGGCAATTACAGGAAACGAAATTCTAATAAAAAATTATTAGGCAATTTCAGGAAAGGCAATTACAGACAATGCAACTACAGAGAATTCCAGGCAGGAAAATTCGAAGCAAAAAACTTTCAGAAAATTCCAGGTAAAAAAACTCCAGGCAGGGCAATTCCAGGAAACTCAAGCCAAGGAAGCTTCTGGCAATTCCAATCAAGGGAATTTCAGGCAAAACGTTTCCAGACGATTTCAATCAAGGCAATTTTATAGAAAGAAACAAAAAAATTCCTGGCAGGGTGACCTCAGGCAAGGCAATCAATTCAAGGCAATTTCAGACAAGACAATTCCAGAAGAGGCTATTTCATGTATGTCAGGCAGGAAAATCCAGGCAATGCAACTTTAGGTGTTTCCAGGCAAGGCAATCCCAGGCAAGGCATATTCAGGCAATACAATTCCTGGCAAGGCAAATCCAGGATACTCCAGGCAAGGAAATTCAAGGCCAGGCAACTCCACAAAATTTCAAACAATGCAATCCCAGGTAAGGAATTTTCAGGAAATTCCAAAGAAGGCAATTCCAGGCAATTCTAGGAAAGGCCATTGCAGTCACGGAAATTTCAGGCAATATCAGACAAGGCAATTCCAGATAAGGCAACTCCAGGAAATTCCTGAAAATGGAACCAGAATCAAAAAAATTTCATGGAATAACAGGCATAAAATGTTTAGGCAAAGCAATTTCAAGCAATCCAAGTAAAGGAAATTTGAACCAATACAAATTCAGGCAATGCCCATCAAGGAAATTTCACGCAATGTTTTTCAAGGCAAGGCCATTTTAATCAAGGCAATATTAAACAAGGAACCTTTAAAATATACAAGGCAAGGCGAATCTAGGCGAGGTAATTTCAGGAAATTCCAGGCAAGGCAATTCCAGGCAATGCATCTTTAGGCATTTTCAGAGAAGGCCTTACAAGCAATGAAATTAAAAACAATTCCAGCAATGAAATTCCAGAAAAGCCATCTCCACATTATTCTAAGAAATGCAATTTTGTGAACAAATTTCCAGAAAAGGGTATTATAGGCAAGGTATTTTCTGGTATCTCTGTGCAACTCCTGACCAGGCAATTACATGCAAGACAATTCCAGGCGATTTCCAGCAATTCAATTCCAGGCCACGCATTTTGGAAAAAAGGAAGGCAGGCAAGGCAATTTCAGGTGAGTCAATTCCAGGCAAGGCAATTCCATGAACGGCAATTTCAGTTTATTGCAGAAAATTAAATTCCTGGCATGGCAACTGCAGGCAAAACATTTTTGACAAAACAAGTTTTAGCTAGCTAGGCAATTCCAGGTAATTTCAGGAAAGGTAATCTTTGGCAAGGCAAATGCAGCAAAAACAATTACCAGGCAAATTTAACACGAGTAATTTTAGTCCAGGCTATTCGAGGCAATGGGATTTCAGCAAGGCAAGTCTAGGCAAGAAAACTCCAGGCCACACACTTCCAAGCGAAGCAATTTCAGAAATGGCAAGGATAGGTAAGGCATTTCCAGCCAAAGCAATTCCAGGATATTCCAGGCAAGGCAATTTCAGGCAAAGAGATTGAAAATAAAAAAATTCGAGATATCTCCACGCTACAAATTTTAGGCGAGGCGTTTAAAAGCCACTCCAGCCAAGGCAATCCCAGTCAGTTCGAGGCAAGACAATTCCAGGCGAGGAAGTTACGGGCCATTCCAGAGAATGCAATTCCTAACTAGGTCATTCCACGCATGTCCAAATAAAAAATTTCTGG